CCCTCCCCCCGTTCATGCTCTGTCTCTCTCTGTCTCAAAAATAAATAAACGTTGAAAAAAAAAAATTTTAAAAAACTGAGAACAAACTGAGGGTTGATGGGGGGGTGGGAAAGAGGGGAGGGGGGGTGACGGGGGGCACCTGTTGGGATGAGCACTGGGTGTTGTACGGAAACCAATTTGACAATTAATTTCATATTAAATAAATAAATAATTTTTAAAAAGTCTAAGTTAGAAATCCAAATCTAGATTTCTCTTAATTCTATAATGTCAAAAAATTGTCAAAAAAAAGTTGAAAAAAACTTAAATGGCTTACAAAAAAAAGTTACATTGAGTTATATTACATGTGCACAGACACACAAATACATATGGCTGCTAATAAAATATGTGCAATCAATTTTGATTATGATGCTAATGGGACTGAATCATTAGGGTTAATAAAGGAAATCATGGCTATTTTGCTTGGTAATGTTTGTGCTTATAGTTAAATGTGAATGTTTCTCATGTTCCATAAATGAAAAACAATTGTGCCATAGTAAAAGTATTTTACATTGGATAACTAGGAATCTCTCTACTTCAGAGGCTTTTAACATGAGAGTAGAGGTTGTGGTCAGAAGGTCTGCAATGGGACCCAGGCATCTGTTTTTATGTTTTGTTTTAAAGCTCTGCAGACAATTCTGATATGTGTTCAAGGATGAAAACCAGTGTTCTGGTTTCCATCAGGGTCTCTGCTAACCACCACTCTAAGATGACAACATGACTTTCTGGACCAGTGTATTGCTTCAGGCTAAACTAAAGGGCAACTTAACCTAAAAAACTGCCTAAGCTAGAAGTCTACTCTTAAGCTTCTGTGGGTTTGGGAGACAAACTAAATCAAGAGGGTTTCTCCCTATGTTGTTTAAAATTACTAGAAATAATCTAGTTTCTCACTAATTACCAAGTTTATTAAACTAACCAGGTACAATGCCAATGAGTACATGTATCTACAACCTCCTTGCTTCCTTATTCTCTGATAAATCCCTATATCCTTCAAAATTCTACTCCAGGGGATATAAAAGGAGAGGGGAGGGAAGGGGAGGGAAGGGGAGGGGAGGGGAGAGGAGAGGAGAGAAATTCTACCCCAGAGATCTAGGGATGAATTCCAACAGCCCTAATGCAGAGTTGGTCTTACTCTCTGTGGGCCAACCACACTGTATACCTTTAACTACATCTGTTGTAATAATTGGATTATGGTCAGTGTGTTCTTTGAGGGCACATATTGTGCCTTGTTCCTTTTTTTTTTTTTTTAATCGCTAATTCCTACCACAGGACTTAATAAATTGGGGCATATAAAATTGTGACATAAAAAAAAAAAAAAAACAATGTCCATGAGATAACAGCACAAGAATTGTTTGCTTACACTAGCATTTCCTTAAATTCATAAATCAATTCATAAACATGAAACATCACAGGTAATATGCAAAAGTTCTGTCAAGTTTTGGGAATATAATCTCAGAACCTTTAATTTATATTCAGGTACACTATGGAGATCATAAAAAGGAATTTCACAGGACTAGTTATTTTAAGGAACACACCCTAGGAAATGCTAACATTAGATACACGTTCTTTTGTCCAACAAATATATTTGAGCACCTAATATAGGCCTGGTACTTTCTAGATACTGATATAGTGGTGAACAAGATAAAATCCTTGTTCTGATGGAGCCTCCAGTTGAGTCAGGAGAGCAAATAAGATAGAATATAAATGAAAAAGTTAAGTTAAAAAGTGTCATCAAAGAAAGATGATAGATATAGGAGAATTGAAAGAAGGATGTCTTAAGGATGGGGGTCATAAAATGTATCTTTGAATAAGTATCTTTGGCCTAAGACCTCGATGACAAGGAGCCAGTCAAGGAAGGTAGAGAGGCCCAGTGTAAGAGCTTTGGGAAGGGGGCAGTGTGAATGAGTTTGGTGTTTGAAGGGAGCAAAAAGGCCAGTCTGCCTACATACAGCATCATGAACAAAGAAAGGAGTGGGTGTAGTGAGTTTAGAAAGGTAGATGGGGCGGGAGGGGCAGGTCACACATAGCTTAGAAAGCAGACCCCGGAAATATGTTTTGAGTTTATTCTAGATGCAACAGGAACACAGGAAGGTTTCAAGTGGGAGAAAAGCATAGTAAAATTTGTGTTTGAAAAATTACTCTACCCACTATATGAAGAATGGATTGTTGTGGGTCCAAAAAATGGAAGCAGGGATACCAGGTAAGGGACTCCTGCATTAGGGCAGATAAGAGATGGGATGGCTTGGGCCAAGGTATTATCAGTGGAGGTAGAGAAAAGATAATTTAAGATACATTTTTGGAAGTACAGCTGTCAATACTTGCTGATGGAGTGAAAAAAGGTAGGGAAGAGAATATGGGAATGGGGAAATAATAAAGAAAAGAATTAAGAAAGTAAAGATAACAAGGTTTGTGGCTTGTACAAGCAGATGGGTGAAAGTGACTTTGAAAAACCCTGATCAGAAGCAATAAGTATCTTCCACAGAGTTAAACTGATTTGCAGGCAAATACGATGCTAAACTTTAAAAGTACACTAAGCCTTGAAAAAGAAAGTTTCTCAATAGTGAGGTCCCTGCAATATTTTGTTAAAACTGTAAGTAAGTGCTTTTAGGACTCATTTATTACATATTTTATAGAATACTAGCAATCTTTGAAAAGCTTTGCCAAATACACTCATATTACAGACTTTCCCCTCTATTAGCTAGCTTTTCAAGGTGACAAGACATTACAAATTCAGTTTAAGCTGATCTGTAAGTAGCTTTTTTTAGTTAAATATATTAGTGAGGTTAAATAAACTGTGAAGAAGAAAGGCTAGAAAGAAATTTATAAAGGAAAGAAATTTTATATCATAGGTTCCTAGACTAGGAATAATATTTAAGAGAAAAAAAAGCCTAACTTTTTTCTACAAAAGACATTCTCTATTTTAAAAGTTAAAATTATTAAGGGATAAGCCCATACCTTCATTCTGATCATAAACAAGAAACCCACTAGACTTAGAAACCACTCGTCTTCAGCTAAATAGGAACTTCTAATTAGTGCTTTTTCTGCTCTGCCCTATTTGATGGGGAATACGTGTGAGCACATGCTGTATGTGAAGTAATGTCCTTGCAACTACAATTCCAATTTATTCATAAACAAATTGTCTGTGTGTTCACTATAGTTTCTCCCTGCCTTTTTAGGTGGCTTTCTAGGTGGCTCTGCCACAGCTCTGATGGGCCTGAGAGCTGTCCACCTCTCCCTACCATGGCCGTTCAGGTCTGCAAAACCTTTGTTGCTATTCTTCTGTTGTTGCCTACCTAATTCCAGAGCTAGCTCTCTCAGTTAAAACATCTGAAAAGATACTGTATGTTGACTTTTGATTATTTGTACTTATAGACTTCTTACACATCTCTCCTATTAGTAAGTATTTACTGTAAAATTTGAAGCAGAGAGCTGTTTTAGACTAATACAGTTTGAGTTTTCAGAGTATACATCATTTCTAAAACAGGCTTAAGTTTTTAAAATACAGGTTTTAGTTAAATAAATAAACAGTCGTAAAAAGAAACTTACGTAGAATGAGTTTCCGTTTCTTTTGTTCTGAGTGAAGAAAGCTACTAAGGTAGAAGACAATGGGTAGAAAGAGAATGAATACAGAAACAGCAATTACAGGCACTGTGTCACTGCAAGGGACAGAACAATTGAAAGTTCGACTCCAAAGTTTTCGAGTAATGTTCATCTGGAACGATAGCAAATAAAATTACTTTGTTTTACATTTAATTTGTCTTCAAGTCATACAATTATTTTATTAGTAAAATAACAGGCATCCAGAATTTAAAACTAAATATACATCCCTAAAAAATCTATTGATAGTTGAGGACAATTTCTTCTGCCCAGGAAATTAGCTAGTTTACAATCAGTCACTGTGTAAGTTTATATCATACAGAAATTTCATATTCTAAATTCATAACACCATCCAAAGAATGTCAGCCTTTCACAGATCTCGGAGAACTTGTATCAACAGAAATATGGTTAGACCATGCTTCATTCATTAAAGAAGATTTAAAAGGGTAACAATGTGAGGTGATGGATGTGTTAATTAACTCGACTGTGGGAGTCCTTTCACAATGTATATGTATATCAAATTATCACGTTGAACACTTTAAATATATTACAATTTCATTCATCAATTATATCTCAATAAAACGGGGGGGGGGAAGGCTCACAAAAACAAATTTTTTTTATGTTTCATGTGTAATCTCACTGAGCTTGTTGCAATATTTTTAGAATGAAAATAAAAACATCAACTAAATATGTAAATATAGCTGTTCTTCAAGAGATGATATCTATGAAATGTTTAGTACCTTACCTAAGATATTATGAAAGATTCATATGGCAAATAATTGTTTAAGTCCATAATATCTAATGAATCATGGAAACTTTTTTAGGTAGTATTTCATTTAGCATCATACATTAAAAACAGATATATTTAGGGGCAGCAATACCCCATTTTCATTGAGCTCACAGTTTCTGTCAAACATGGTAAGTGATATAAGGAAACTATCAAATTTAATGTAGAAAACTGTTCTTGCCTGAATTTTGAGATATGGTTTGCAAATGGTGCTTTGTATGTTTACTGTAAGGTTTGCTTACTGTAAGAAGGACGTTCTAAAAACAGGAAGTCATGTTGATTTCCTATGTAATCCAACCTTTGTCAGAGAATCAATACTCATCTTTCTTCTTCATTTTAAAAATGATGAAATAGACTATTATTCTTAAAATAAATATTTAGTATTTACTGAGAGCCTACTAGAAGCAGGTACTCTTCCAGACATTAGAAAAAGAGCAGTAAAAAAATAAAAATCCCCATGGTATACCCACCCATTTTAAGTTGATAATAAATGCTTTTTGCCATCACGAATATTATTGATCCACCATAGTTCACTCTGAGCTGCTATTCATATTCATCATTCTCAACCATTAAGTTTATTAACTCTGACCTTTAGTTCTCTACTTTTAGCCAGTAATTCCTATTTCCTTTGATGCCTCAACCCTCAGGCACCATATTCCCATAAAAAGGCATGATCGCCATCTAGTGGTGCCCCACATGAAGGCCGACTATACAGTGGAGGAAATATCTTTTTTGTTAACCATTTAATCAATATACATTACTAAAGGCCTACTATATGCTTGGCACTGTTCTAAATACTGGACAGTAAACAGAAAAGGACAGGAGGTCCTTTTCCTCATGTGGCTTATATTTCAGTGAGAGGTAACAGACTGTAAATAAGTAAACAAATTAAAAATTTCAGATGATAACAGATATAAAGAATAAAAGCAATGGGATAGGAAGCAATTCAAAAATGGCTTCAGAAACACACGGTAGCAGGGCACCTGGGTGGCTCAGTCAGTTAAGCGGCTGACTTGATTTCGGTTCAAGTCAGGATCTCACAGTTTGTGAGACTGAGCCCAGCATTGGGCTCTGTGCTGACAGCACAGAGCCTGCTTGGGATTCTCTCTCCCTCTCTGCCTCTACCACCCCTCAGCTGTTCTCTCTCTGGAAATAAATATATAAGCTTACAAAAAAAAAAAGAAAAAAGAAAAGAAAAAAGAAACACATAGTAGCAAAACCAGAGACTTCTTGAATCAGCAATAGCACATAAGAAACTGAAATGTAAACATATAACAACACCCATGCCTCTGAAAATGACACATTTTATCAACCTTAAAACACCAAACATACCAAATTGTCAACTCATTTATGAAGTACTTGATTTATGTTCATTTTAGTTTGACAGATCAGGATATTCTAAAACTCTACTACTTTATAACTAGTTATTTCTGGTTGAAGACAGCATATACAGATTCCAATATACCTCTAAAGGGGATAGTACTACTGAAGGCACAATTAACAACACTGCAAAATATGCATCATATCACAAGTAAAGTACTTACTGCATCTTCCACATCAATGCATAAATGTGTTCCAGATTCAGCCTTATTTTCAAGTTCATTCATTTTTTGCATTTCATTGTATAGACTACTCAGAGTTTTGTATGCTTCACGACAGTTTTTGCAAACTTCTGAATAATTCCTTAACTGCATAAGACTGTGTACGCTCACCTAAAACATCAAAGGCACATTTAATACACACAATAAACATTACATCTCTTTTAACATAAGCTATTTGACCTCCTAGCAGACAGGAAACACTATAGCACATTAAAGTACTGAGCTGTGTGATGTTAGACAGGTTACTAAATCACTCTGAGCCTGTTTTATCATCTATAATATATTGCTACCACTACCTGTATTATAGGTCTCAAGGATTAGAGAAGCACGCACATAGCAAAATATTTTTGCACTTTCTAGTTACCCTTAAATTTTGAAAACCACTGCACTAGTCGCTGGTAACTGAGAACAATAGCTCCGATGCCAAATTACTAATGTCTAAATCCCCCAAATGTCTTAAATCATCTGGTCATTTATATGGCTGCTCTTATCTATCCTACTCTCACAGAATAAACCAAATATGACGTTCCCTGTGCTGACTTCAAAACTGAAGTCTGCCTCATTGAGACAGAAGGCACTTTATTAATGCGGAAGGAAAAGGCACCAAAACTACATCCCCACTCAACCCTCTTATGTCAAGGTTTGTAATCCAGACCTCTCTAGTCAACAAAAAGGGACTAATGCCAAAGGATTATATAACCTAAAATGAAGGTAGTGGATATAATATATAAGCTATTATGTTGCTGAATCTCAATCTTTTCCATTTCCGCGACTGACACTTGTCTTTTCAAGAGCAAGTTTGCTAACCAGTCAGTTCACATCTTTGCCTTCTCTTCCCTTATTCATTACCTTGTTGCCTGAAGAAATGATATTAACTGAATATTGGAATGAAAGAGAAAAGAAACAATTAAAGGAATGAAACTGATGCAGCCCCCACAATGTTACCCCCCCACCACCATCTATTTAACAGAGAAACTAAGTCTCCCTTTAGTTCTGCCACAAGAACTAGCACATGGCCTGTTTTTCACAGAACAATTGTGCATTTCGCTAAATGTGTTCGACCAAAAATTGAGCACAGAACTTTGATGGTGGAGTATAATTTAGCCATTTATATGAAAATTTAAAATGCATATATCTTTTGACAGAGCAATTTCACTTCTGTTAAAGTCATACAAATACTCAAAACAGACATGTTTGTAATAGTAAAATACTGAACCAAAAATCTCCATCAACATAGGAACTGACTGAATAAACGGTGGCATAGCCAAACAATAAAAAGACCTACAGTGTTTAAAAGGAATGAGGAAGTAGGATTCTAGAAAGAGGATGATACTAGCACATGCCTTGTGTCCTGACTTCTTCACAAGATTCAAGAAAAGAAAAGTAAATCCAGGCACTTGAATAGCACCTTAAATACAAAGGTGTGACATGCAAGTCTCACATCACAGGAAGGTTGTATTGTAGTATCAGCTACTATACCAGTCCCAGAGAAACTAACCAGAACCACAGTCTCTTGTGAACCTCTATCCCCTGCAGCCAGCCACCCACTGGCCTCTAGAGATGCAAGAGGCTAGGACAATAACCCTACCCTGTCTGCAGACCCAGCCAGAAAAAGGAGCCTTTCCACAGCCACCAAGACAGTCCAGGTTCTCAGAGAAGCCACCTGCAAACGCTTACTACCCAAAATGGATCCGGTCTGGAATGTAAACCCATTTTCCTGCCCAAGCACTGAGCGCGGAGCCACTGCCACAGACAATGTCACCAATTAGGCTGCTTCCCTTTTGACCTCAAACTTTTTAGTTGCGTTCTTTCCAGTTTGTCTCTAGGCTCAGGCAGAAGACCCTGAGGGCAAAGCATCTCCAGAGGGGAACTTAAACTACCCCCTGAAGCAGTAAGGGCGGCCCTGAGCCTGTAAGACACTGCCCATGATTGACTCCAGGACGATGAGGATGATGATCAATTTGACCTTCACTTCCTGCCTGCTCTACCCACCCATCTTTGCCCCACATTTTCCTTATGTAAACCTGGAAGTATTTTCAGCACTTTGGAGACAGTCTTTGGGATGCTAGTCGGCTGTCTTCTGGACATTGGCCTCATAGAAATAAATTCCTTTCCTGTTTCATCACCAATCAGTCTCTCTGCCTTTGGATTTTGTCAGCAGCAAATGGCCAACCCTGGTCTGTTTGGGACCCCCAGAGCCAGGTGCTCTTGTACCCCGGATACACCACTCTTAAGCTGGCTCCCTTCTCCTCTTAAACACATGGGCGCATGCACACACACCCTACCTATAAAACACTGGAGTTCTTTGGGGCCCCTTTATTATCACTATAGCTTCACTCATTCACATTTGGTCTCATGACTTTAAACACCATCTGATCTGATGATGGCCAAATCTGTATCTCCAGCTCACACCTCTCCCGAGCTCCAAGTTCACATATAACGTTATTTGACATCTCAACTTAGGTGTTCAATAGCTATTTTGTATTAACTTGTTCAAAACAGAATTCTTAATCCCCAATCCCTTACAGCCAGTCTTTCTAGTGGCCCCATCATACTCTTGGATACTCTAGGATAGTCCTGCTTCTTCTTCCCTCTCTGATCAGCCACCACAAATCTCAGGAATTACCCAATCTATCAGCAAGTCCTGTTAGATATACTTGCAAAATATATTCTGAACCAATCTGCGTTTCTCCAACATTACAGCCAGGACCCCAGTCCACACCATCTCTCTCTCCTGTGACAGTTTCCTAAATAAGTTCCTCCTTTCCGTTGTTGCCCAGGTTCAACTGAGTTTCTCCACAGCGCAGCCAGAGTACTATTTTAACATGCAATTCATATCATGTCACATTCCTGCTTTAAATGGCTTCCCATTGTGCTCAGAATTCAGTCCATATTTCTTCCTTTGTTCTGCACAGCTCTACAAGATTTGGCCTCTGCCTATCTCCCCGTATCTCATTCACATATGTTCACTGTGCTCCAGCCAAACAGGCCTTCTTCTTATTCCTTGCACATACCAAGCTCATTCTCTCTCCCAAGGCCTTTATCCTTGCTTCTAAGGGAAGCATTCTTCCCATGGCTGACTCTATGTCAAAATTTAGATTGTCTCAAAATTCACCTACTCAGAGGTACTCCCTGCCCACCCTCTCTAAAGTAGCACACTACACCCCTTTCCAGGACTCAGTACTCTTCATGATCTCATTTCTTTGTTATTAGTCTTACCCCTACTAGGACATAGTTCAGAAAAACAGAAATCTTAGTTGTATTGTTTACTGCTCTATCCTCAGTGCCCAGAACACTACCTCCTGGCACGTATCAGTGCCCATTAAATATTTGTTGAATGAATAAGTGAGTGCACAGTGCCTGCTTGAGGGAATTTCTGAAAGTCAAGCTATAGAAACCAAACTCTATATGGAGAGAGAGATTTCTTTTAGCCCTCCCAACCTGGTACAACCGTCTTATCACACTGACCACATGAGCACATAAGAAAGTAAGATGAGCCTAACACTAGACATAAAAAGAAAACAAATTTAAAAAAAAAACAAGCAAATAAAGTGATTCGAAGTGCAAATTAAACCTAGACATCAGAATAAATGCCCTAATGAAAAAGAATTCATTCAGCATATAGGAGAGAACTTTTAAAAATTAATTACAGCTCCAGGTATGAAATAAATGTCCATGAGTCCATATTGATATAAATAAATAAATGTGGAAGAAGTGGCAAATCTTCCTTATAGAAGATTTCTAAATAATTTAAGCAAACACTCACTCCTCCAGGACTTAGATCTTAATTTCCCCATCCCCATTCTTGTCACTTAGGAACTTGCTTCCAAAGAATAGAATATGGAAAGAGGAAGAAAAAGGTAACTTTGAGTTAAAGAGACCTAGAAAACACTACCCTATCCAGGTGATCAAGATTAACATAATCAGGGATAAATCATGGTGACAGCATGTACCTCTGACAAGATGTGATGAGAAAGGCACTTCACTTCTGTAGTATTCTTCCCCAAAACTCATAGTCCCAGTGTAACCATGAAAGAAACATTAGACAAACCCAAACTGGGGGACATTCTATAAAATATGTGGCCAGTACTCCTCACAATTATCAGTCATGAAAAACAGGGAAAGATTGAGAAACTGTCATAGACCACAAGAGCTAAGTGTGGTGTGATGGGAAATAGGTATTTGGCCTTTGTCTCCGGATCCTGGCACTGGGATATCCCCAGTGATAAGAGAGCCTTTTGTATGCTAATGCATGACTGGTGGCTGGGCGTCCCTACATAGCTTCAGGCTAAAGGCTGGTCACCAGAAAGACCAAAGCACGATTGGGTGTTGGAACTTTTAGCCCCACCTCTGACCTCTGAGGAGGGGAGAGGAGCTGGAGACTGAGTTAATCACCAGTAGCTGAGGTAATTAATCATGCCTACATAATGAAACCTTCACACACACACACACACACACACACACACACACACACACACACACACAAAACCCTCAATGTTACAAGAGCTTGCTTCTGGGTTGGTGCATACAGCGATGTGCTGGAAGAGTGGTATCCCCAGCAGAGCATGGTAGCCCTGCACACACACCCCTCCCTCACACCTTCGCCTACACATCTCTTCCACTTGGGCTATTTCTGACTTGTATCCTCTGTAATAACCAGTAAACATAAGTAAAAAGTGTACCTGAGTTTTGTGAGTCATTTAGCAAATTATTGAACTTGAAAGGGGGCAAGTTGTGGGAACCCCTTGACTTTGTAGCCAAGTCGAATGCAAGGGTAGGTAACCTGGGCACTTTGTGATGGGCATCTGAAATAAGGGCTTCTTGTGAGACTGAGCCCTTAAATCTGTGGAGTCTGACATTAATTCCAGGTAGTTAGTATCAAAATCGAATTGTAGGACACCTAGTTGGTGTCAGAGAATTAGTTGTTGGTATGGGAAAATCACTACACACTGGACATCAGAAGCGTTGTGAGTAAAACTAACTCACTTAAGGAAACAGAACAACTAAATGCAATCTGGAAATCAGGATGGAGAAGGAAGGACTTTACTGGAGAAACTAGCGAACACAAACTCTAGTTTAGTTAGTGCTAAATGCACCAATGTTGGTTTTTC